ATTGTGAACGACCGGTAGCTCTCTTTGTTACACAATATTACATGTAACATCACATGTCCAGCTTTAATTTTACAGAAGTCAGTAAATAAACACAGATAAACTCCGCAAAGTAATGAAATTTGGCATCGAGTGTCTCAGAAAGCATACGCATACATTGTCCAGTAAATAAACACAGATAAACTCCGCAAAGGAATGAAATTTGGCATCAAGTGTCTCGGAAAGCATACGCATACATTGTCTAGTGCACAGCACGCTTCGTCCATTCCTTATGCACTACATATAATAATGTATCTAGAAATGGGGATTAGCACCAACCAGGCATGCGCCCTGCAGTTTGCGATCATGGAAATGTTGTCCGAGCAAAGACGTTTTCACCTACTCTCTATCGAATTTCAACTGTATAGGTTTATCTCACGTTATCATCAATGTGCACGCGGGACCTCGGTTTCCGTCCCACCGAAAGACTAGACCCTGTCCATTGCTATGCTCTCCGTCCTGCACCACTGACAACGGAGCGGGGGGGGGGGGCTATGTACCGAACCCTGGCCCGCTTGGTTAGTGAGCCAGTACCTTACTCAAAGAGCCATGGTGGCTCCAAAGGGCTTTATAGTTATATGCATTAATCTATAAGTAATCCTTATTACTCTTTACCTATATGAAAAACGGGGGGGGGGGGGGCAAATGGTTAGCACCTCCGGTTATACATGATAAGGAGTAGGGTAGCCTATCCAATCTCGTTGGTTTTCTAGGGTCCTACGGTTTCCTCCCACTGCTAAAGACCCCTAGGCTCTAGCGAATCATTGAAATAAAATTGAACCATGCGTTAGTCCCGAAATGACCTAGTTTGTGTTGAGTGGAAGTTAAACCCCCTTTCTCTTTCATATATATGAAAAACAACCCACCTGTACCACTAATCCGATAAAAATAAAGTAATATTTCCATTCGTTTTATATTAATAACAATAAATAATAAAATGTCCGTATGCCATATACGATATCAGTGCAGAATATTAATTAGATTTGATGTGAAACGATTTTTTAATTATACCTATTCACAAACCATAAATGTTCAATTTCTACAACATTAAAATTCTATCGATTATTAAATACACATAAATTTTATAAATTTACAACAGCATATTATAATTATTGTAAAGGTGTATAAATGCAGGTGTGAATATTATCATTTATTTACCTGTAGCGATAGACTAATTATGTTTTTACTTATATTTAATTACCGCACGTGTTGCACCAGGTAACAAGTTTACAAAGAACCCGTATGTGGAATTATAATTGAGATCCTCTGTCTGATATTAATGGAGTAACACGGAAACACATCAATTTCACTTATAACTTATCTGCGATATCGCCCTCGGTGGAAGCGGACTTTAAGCCTCGCGAACGAATGAATACACTTCTAACGTACTATTAGTAATACTGTATATAGGATTTCAACTGAAAGTCTTCGCCGGAATCCCCAGCTGGAACCAATGACTATCGTAATTAGTGCAATTCATACTCGCTATTACGGATGTGGGGGTGGAGTGGTCTTCAGTCAAGTGTCGCGGTTCCGACCAATGGCTTGTGTGTCACGAGGAGCATGTTTTCCGACAAAAATTCCTCAAATGATGACCAGAAATTTTAACTAAACTAGTTAACGCCCATCTTCTTATGTAGTGCTATATTGAAATTTTGACGATTACTGCTGTTTTAATTAAATATTTGTAGGATCTGCGCTCCGGTATTGTAAAGTACAAAGAAAGAGAGAGAGAGAGAGAGAGAAATGGGGTTTAACGTCCACTCGACACAAACTAGGTCATTTCGGGACTAACATATGGTATAATTTTATTTCAATAATTCGCTTGCGCATAGGGGTCTTTAGCAGTGGGAGGAAACCGGAGGACCCGGAGAAACCCCACGAGGTTGGACAGGCGACCCCACGAGGTTGGACAGGCGACCCCACGAGGTTGGACAGGCGACCCTACTCCTTGTCACGTACAACCGGGGATTCGAAACCACACCAGTCGACTCAATGACAGACTTTATGATACAGCGCGCGCACGCTAACCATTCAGCCATCCAACCCCCCTACAAAGAAAGAACTCTACAGTGTAATATAACGTTTATTAGAACATAGAACATGTATGGAATATAGATGAGATCAGATTGTATAGATATGGGAGATTCCCTCGAGAGAAATATCAATACTGACAATATCACAACTTACAGTCATTTAGTCTTTGTTTATATAAGCTTGTTTATTGTTTTATACCTAGTCATATACTATATAGCATAGATTATGTGTTTGTCCAGACGTTCATTATCTTATGTTTGTATTTATTTGTTTATTATCTACACTACGTGTGTGTAAAAAATATATTGGGGTGCTGCATGATGGCAAATAGTAGAGAATTGGGTTGATCTACAATAAGATAAAGTAACATAGAGAGAGTATTAAATATACATGGTATATTATAAGTATGTTTTGTATTGGTATGTACACGCATTGACGTGTGGTATAATCTTTAACACACAGCCCTACAAACCATACAACATATAGCAAATACAGCGCCAGAAAATCAGAAATGTCAAAGTTCAAGACAAACCCCTTTACAACGTATTACCGAAATAGTGTGCGATCTGTTCGATGCTTTAAATTGTGTAAATTAGGAACAGAGTTGGGACCCGTTCACAGACTTTAGAAAAAAGATTATTTTTTTGTTGCTGATTGTATTAAGTGATGTGTATGACAGACAGAAGCTGGTAAAGCATAAATCCAGCATCCTTTACTGATGCTAATGCTCAGATTGTTTCGGTGTGATAGAAAAGTTACAAACTCTGATGAAACACAATTCTCTTGATAACAGTAAATGTCGTAACATGTATTGTTAATGAATACTGATCTATGTTTCAGAAATATCTGATTCCCTAGATACCATTGTTGGATAACAAAATACAATTTAGATAACAGAAACGAGGCGTAATATGGAAATCATATTGTAATTTTATTTCTTACACAAAAAAATGATTCTCTTATAATCTAAGTGAATTGATGCTAAATGCTAAAATTAGTTAATGGTGCTATTTTTCTAAAGCGCCCAGCACACCTAATGACAGGTTACATAACGTTTAGAGTCTTAAAGTAGCTAAGTATCTAACTGAATATCATCCAAAGTCTTCGACATTGAAAACGCAAATTATTTGTCAATTTAAATTAACATTGATGTTGTGATCTTACCGGGAAAAGAAGGGCTTCTGATACCAGATATTTAAGACAAAATAATCATTTTACCATTGGTACACGAATCGTGTACCATAACGCGTTTCAGCGCCATTTGTATCAAGAGACTCGAAAAACGTGGCTACTAGAGATTGCCATTCGATTGAGACTTCTGGCGTAATTCACCGAACATAACTGACTTGAAATTAGAGTAAAAGCGGAAACGATTGAATGTAAATCAGTTTATGTACATTTATATTTACATTATTATATGCGTTGCGATCCATTTGTGTCAATTTCTAGATCCCAAATATTAGCGACTTAGCTCCTTTAAGACCATACAATCAAAGGTACTCCTGTGAAAAAAACACACTTCGATCTCAAAATTACTCAAGTAAATTAATTCCTAATCATTTCACACTGTCATATTTGTGTGTTACGAAACTTAGAAAAGCGAAGGGATGTATTTGAGAACCCATATTTCCAAACAGATCGATTCAAGAAAACATTTGTATGGAATCGGTCTTAAAATTATACATGTATGAACTAACAATTAAATCTGGACATGAAACTAGTCTTCAAGAGCTCAAATTCGTTATGCTTATCCTTAACATCAGCACATTTGAAACGAAAATCTCCGACAACTTTTGGACGGATTAAGAAAGGGCAGGTAACGCTGGTGTCATCATCCAGTCTTTTTTAAAAAAAAAATAAACTACACACGTACATGTCACCCTGTGATCTTTGGTAGCGGAGATTAAACGTACAACGTGTAAATTACTTTCGAAATATTTGCTCTTTACTTTATATATAAGAAGTAGTTGTCATGGCTATGTATTGGACTATTTCTCACATTTTAACCTTTTCACAAGTCAAACTGTAAAGTGCAATATCAATTACTGTTAGAATTCCTTAATTCATGCATGTTTATTTTGTGGTCTTTCAGCAGGGTGTCTAATAGAAGTTACTGTAAATTTAAAACAACTTAACAATCTTGTGGTTTCTTTGTGTACATGTTTTGTCATGATTCAACAATTTTCTGCATTATTTTAATATTTTTTTGTGACATTATGATGTTGCAGTGTTTGAGCGTTTGGCCTATGTTAACCATTTTGTAAAGCCATATGTGGATTATAATTAAAACTGTTATTTTTAACCAATTTGCGCTTAGTATTTACAGCTCTTTCTGAATACGGTTTGTATTATCTCAAAGTACGTGTTTCACAAAATGGTTTTACGAATCTTCAATTAAAACCCACCATTCTTGATCTTTATCGTTTTTTGTGTGAATAGCGTCTGATTACTACAGACTAGTGAATGGTACTATATAGTGCTCTTTCCTGAAATTCTCAGAAAGGTCAAACAGAGTTCTAATCACTGCCTGGTAGTATAAATGGTTTCTCGTGTTGTTAGTATTAAATTCACTAATTCTATCGTTATTCCCAACAGAATTAATTTATATTTTTATATGGATTAAGAGAAGAACATATAATTTCGTAGTATTGTACGAAATAATTGAATGTTTTGCAGTCATTAGTGTTCATTAACGATCAAATTGGGACTATCACTAATTGTACCGTTAGAATCACTAGTCTTAGGTATTGAATTTGTAATAACCGATTCATTGGAATTCATTCAAGACCTTCGTAAACAAAGCAGAAAGGTAACGAATAGGTTGAATTGAAACGTAGGCCTACTCATCAGAAGTTAGTCCGTAAATATGGATAATAACCGTACTGAGTGTACTAGAATAAACAAAATAAAAGTAGAGTTGTACTTACGAATCCATAGCCCCTGCTTTTGCCAGTTTGTCTGTCTGTTATTACCACGGCTTCTTCAATATCTCCAAATTTATCAAAGTATTCCCTTAAAGAAGCGTCGGTCGTGTGGTAAGGCAAGCCACCGACGAATATTTTGGTGAACGTGGTGTCTTTCTGTGAAATTCCGTTAGACATAGGTGTTGGAGTAGTGGCCATTTTATAGATTTAACGATTTGATAACTGAACAACACAAAAATTAAATACAACGCAAAGCTTTTGAAATCGAACGATAGTAGCTTCAGTGAATGACTGACTCGACGCTAGATATAAATAGACAAATATGCTACACGACACTACTGAAACAAGTACAACTAACGGTCCTGCTTGATTTGTTAGTTCGTTGCTGCAAGTTTCGTCTATCTATATGCGACTGTGGATTTTGGAACAACACTTTTGTCAGTATAAACAGATAAAGCCTAGAATCGTATTAAGGAGTATCCCTGTCTAGTCCCCTTTGGTATCACACACACAACTAATAGTTAGAGTTTACTTCTATACTGTTTGTCTTCAGTTATATTCGCTATAATCTCGCACTGTTAACAACAGCCAATCACCATGAAGCTAAGTTCCAAACCAACCAATCAACAATCAGACCACGCCTACTGACGTAGATGGTATCGGGCCACGTGGTCTGTTGAAAATAAGCCACGCCTAATTTTATGCCTCCGCCCATGGTCTTTGTTAGCTTCGACACTGTTCAACAAATTAATTTGTTTGTGGCCATTAAATTTATTAACTATGAATGGGGAAACGAACTAGATTAGAACTTAACCGCTGCTGAGGCTAAATTCCATACTTTCAATAAAGTTTATTCAAGATTCGATAATGCAACTCGCAAAATTGGACGTGAAATAAAGCCCCGCCCAAGACCTGCCTCGTGAACTACGAACCCACCCACAAGGGATTCGTCAGAAGCATGAAAAATTCGTTGCCTCTCTCTCTTGGGAGATGTTCTGAGTTCTAGGATAACAAGGAAGAAAGCTTTTACAAAGAATTCTCAGACCTTTTGTTTGAAATTGAGATGGGGTCCGGAGAAATAACACGAACAAGAAATTAAGCTACTACATGTGAACTTAACAGAAATCTTCACCCACGTGGAAATATTTTGGCTTGGAACCAAGCGGAGAAGGTGACCTTGAAGACGTAACACAATAGTGAAAATTAAGAGAACATTTATTGTCGATTTTTTATATTTCAACTTGCAATAATCTACTTCCATTAGTCTTTAAAGCGGTACACTCTTTTATAGTTGTAAATAGGTATGAAAGCCTCGATTATCTTTTCGGAGACGACAACTATTAGTAACATTTCTAATTGACGAAAATGAAACAATTTAACGTCTAATCCCCCCCCCCACCCCCAAGCAACCCATCCGACCCAACACAGCAAAACTTAAAACCCCAACATTTCTTAATAAGCGAAACATGCAGACCTTCAGTGCATACACAATCAAAAGTATGGCTATCAAAAAGCATACTGGTCCAAAAAAACATTGGGTCAATAATTGCCAATTTCCCATCTGTTAATTTCACAATTCCATCATTTCTTGGTGTCTGCACGAGAACTCTTTTCTTTCCGTGAGTAGAATGGTATTAGTTTTTGTTATCTTTCTGTTGACCAGCTTCTTAACTGTATAATGTTAACTTGTAGTGATTGGGTACCATTAGTTAAAGTGAAGAAGGACCAGTATCACAGTTTGACTCAATATTTGTATCTTCCTCGATAGCTTAAATATGTTGTACAAAAACGTGACTTTAGCCTGGGATTTTTTTAAAAAGAAAAATGGTAGACTTATTACGATAGCTAACAGATAGCTCAACAGAGCTAATTGAAGAATAAGCAATAATTAACTGTTCAGTTGTTGACAGAATAAGACTATCAACACGATAAATCAATTCTTGTCTGTTATAAAATAGGCTCCATGTGAAAACTCAAGTCCCAAATACAAGGAATCTAAGCAAACCAAGGGGTACCGAGTCAAACCTCGACATCGCATTTTATAACAAGACAGAAACATGTGAGAAAGTTGATACACTTCCGGGTGTTTGATATTAAACCTATTTATTCTATTATGTCTATATAAAGTTTTTTAATTATTCTAAAATGCGGGTGGGGGGTAATAAAAGTTAAATCAAAACTAACAAAAATATTTTTTTTATCGGGTATCGTAGATTTCTATTTATTTCAAAGGGCGGTGAGTGTTTTTGAACTTCTTGAAATGGGAATTGGCGTTTTTGTGATCTATGGCGGTCGGGAAAATGGTAATTTTGAATTGGACGTGATTCCAAGGAATACTGACCCCCGGTATGTTCAAATCTGACATAAAGCGGCCAGTCTATCACCAAGATAAAGACGTTTTAACTTTCCATTCCGTAGTCGTATACAGTTTTCGTGGGTTTCCTGTCCTTTAAATCTTTACTCAAAAACATGGGTACTTATATTTCCATAATCCGGTGACCCTAAGGTTACGTTGAATATGATATTGTTCAAAATTAATTACATTTTGGTTAAATGGACAATATCTCTTCAATAAAGAAAGAAAATGATTCTGAACTCCCCACCTATCTGCTCCAACCCCTGCACGCAAGCGAATTATTGGTTCCGAAATGACTTAGTTTATGTCGAGTGGACGTTAAGCCTCAATCCTTCTCTCCCAAAATTGACATTAACGCAAAGCCCCCCCCCCTCTCTCTCTCTCTCTCTCTCTCTCTTTGCTCTCCAACCGGACTAATGAAGACAGGAATATATCTTTCAGACTACCGCTGTAAGATGATAGTATGTACTATGATGGTATACGAGGTACGTGTGTATACACGTGCTGATCTATAAACATATGTATATAATCATAACAATATGTTGATTTGTAGACGTATATTATTATTGTTATATGATATACACTACTTACATCATAATCTATAATATGTATTACATATTACTTGTATATTACTTACAACTAAAATATGAAATAAATCTAACGAAATACTGCAGAAATTCCTACGAAATGGTCTTAACACTTCACAAAAAAAAACCCATGAATAAGAATTTATTGGATAAAATAATATTTGATGTGCACTCGTTACTTATATATACATACTTACTATATTAATTATTTATAAATAGGTGAGTAGTATATAAAAACTGCGAAATATAAAGAAATATATCACACGTTTGGTACGTTCTTAATTGATGTATATCCTTTAAATTAGTACATACATATTACATAACCATTAACGTCATACTTATTTATGATAGCAAATATATAGGAGAATAGTATTGTTTTTAAAAATGACTGCCAAACCACATGGGTTTTTTAATAGGTGTTTATGTCACTTCACACGAATTCCCTAGGTATGTTGAGTGAACGTTATGGTCAAACAGGGCATAGCGTCAGTAACAAATTTACCCCAAACAACACTGTGTACTGTCCATCTGTCTTCATTAGCCCGGTTGATGCAGGAAAGTAGGACGTTAAATCTCACTTCATGTCTCTCGTAGGACCTGGTATTAAATGCAGTCATTTATCTATTATCTATATACATTTACAAATAGCGAGGAAGGGTGGTGGATGTTTTGGGGGTTTGTTTTTTTTTGCATATCGATTCAGTTTACTATGTTTGAACGACACCAGATACAACATGCTTTCTCTTTCCAGAAAACCTGATGTTACTTGCCACCATGGGCTCATCTGCATAACTTCATGTGTGTCCATCTTTGACCTTTGTTTTTGATGTTGATCTTTGTTCAATCACTGTTGCTATTAGTGTATTTTATGTACTCATATTTGTTCTGCCTGTGTTGTGTTGACCAGTATTCCTGTGTTGTGTTGACCAGTATTCCTGTATTGTGTTAAACAATATTCTTGTATTGTGTTAAATAGTATTCCTGTATTGTTCTGACAGTATTCCTATAATGTTTGTTACCTTATAAATGATATAATTATGTGAGTCAAATTCTCTTTCTATATTTTGCTTTATATTTATTGTAAGAACGATTCCAGATATTCAACCTACAATTCAACTCTATAATCATGTGATATTACAAATAAATTATTGTCAATATTCAGACTTTCACTCATTTTCTTAAAACTCATTTTGGTCACTGTTTAACGACTTAGACCCGGAGGGATTAATGTTAATCCATTTACCTGACCGAGGTTAATCCCAGTTATGAAAATAAAAATATTTATAGGTAAGATTTGGAGAATTAATCTACATAGAAGTTGGTATGAGTTTAACAAGTAAAATGTGCGCTCATTTTCTTCAACAACAAAATCATTGCCATTACTTTATGATTGTATTGTTTTGTCTATGTTTTGTCGGGTAGCAACTTTTTCTATAAGATCAAAAACTGCGATCCGTTGGTAGTCTAAGATAATTAATAGAAACTGCATGGTTCTAATTAGTGGTTCTTAAATGGATTAACTAGTAATCCAATAATGTTAATCTGCTTTTGACATGTCTATATTAATTTAAATTTATTTATTAAATTTGAAATTCTTGTAAATTTTGAAAGATGTTCACAGATGATTATTATAGTTTAAAGTGTATTTTTGTGTTTTCGAAAATTTGGCTATTCAAATCTTTCAAAGACATTTAAGATATTTAACATCCATAGAAACCATAAACAGTCAATGTTTTTTAAGTATAATAGCTCTGATTAAGACTAAAATGGATTATACGTTAAGCCAATCAGATCTGTTGTTTTTCCTCTTGACATGCGAAATTAGGTTCTTTGTTTTCGGCGTTTATTGTCGATAGAAACATAGGTAATCCAATTACAGTTAATTTCATGCCAAATGTGGGGTCAACAAAATGCCAGATATAATACAAAGAATTAACACAAGCTGGATAATCCAGACCTGATAAAGATTAACTGATAGAAAACACCATAGCAACTCACGCATACAAACATAACTTAAAAATGTATGTATGTATAAAAATAAATGAAATGAATTTAATTTCTGAAAGCCTGGAAGACACCGTGGCTCCGTGAATATGATTGTGCATGCTCGCTAATGAAGATGTCTGAGGTTCGATCCAGGTGATGGCCGAGAAAGTTCCACGGAATTTTCCGGTGTGGTTTCCAGTAGTGCAGACGGAGACTGACAAGGCGGCGTCAGTCGTTCGGATGGGAAGAAACCCCAAGTCCCGTATGCACGTTGGCGTGCACATAAATGATACACGTTGGTGTGCACGTAAAAGATCACTTTGCGGTTGGAATTCAAAATAAGAAGAGTCCGTAGCGCCTCTGTCCGGTGAAATTTCCCTCACAGCACACTGTATGACGTATATGCCCGTCTTCATTAGCCCAGTCGATGCAGAAAAGTAGACGTTAAACCCCAATTACTTTCATTTGTAACCAAACAATCATTACAACCCACTGGTCGATAATTTGGGGTTTCGTAATAATGTTCATTTCAAAGCCTCTTGCATTGGTTATATATTGATCCTCAAGACGCTGGACTCAAAATTAGAATGTCCTTGTTTCCAACCCCCGCGTGGT